CCGGATTGTTGTTGGGGGCAATATGCTGACTCTGTAAACCGCTTAGAGAGGGCTGAAAGCCCTATGAAGCGGTATATAAGTCTAATAAATAAATATAAGTCTAACTGCTATTGCTATTGCTATTAGCTTGAGAGGCATTTAAAGGTGGCCAACTTCCACCTGGACATGTTTCCATATGAATATACCTACCTTACTGTCCAGGCGCTGAAGGTAAGAACAGATGTATTCGATGCTTGCCCCAAAAGGATGAACGTGCAGAAAAGTTGAGATGATCCCTAAAAAAATATTGGGAAAGGTGTGTTACTCTCAAGAGATGGGGGATGCCAGCACAGAACACACCTTAATTTCCTACAAGAGCTGCTCTGCATTTTGGAATGCAAAGCAGGACCCCACAGAATTGAAGAGTAATCAACATATCGCCCAAGATTTGTCTCTTAACAACACGTTGATTTTTTAATTGTGCTCTGCAGACATTAGAATAACTATACTGCCACAGTCGTTTAAGCAGGAAAGGTTGTGATCAAAAGCCATTCTGTGCATGGAATAGCCTATTTTAAGACGACCGAGGCCAGGAATGAAATATGAGCAACCTGTTCCAGGTTGTTCCAACCATAGGTGGAACAAAATGGGGTTCAGATTAAAAGATTAACATAGTTGGAAGGGACCTTCTAAATTATCTAATCCCGTGATGACAAACCAATGGCTCACATGCCCAAAGTGGCACATGAAGCCGTGTTGCCCAGCATGCGCAGCTTGCCTGTTTGCCTTCCAAGTTTCTGGTGCGCATGCGCACAGGACAATCAGTTGTCCTTCGCGCACGCAGCCGTGCCAAAAACCAGTGTGTTCATACACACCAGAACCCAAAGGTTTGGTTTTTCAGGAGCGCAATCCCCTCACACGTGTGGCAGTGCAGAAAACAGGCCTGCGCATGTGGGTCGGCCAGCTGATCGTTGGGCATGCATGTGCACCAGAACCCGGAGGTTCGGCTTGTCCAGAGCGCAGCCCTGACGAGTGTGCATGCATACACACAACATTTCCGCGCAACCTTTTTAACACTCGGTGCCAAAAAGGTTTCCCATCACTGATCTAGTCCAACTTCACCTAAGCAGGAGACTCTGCCTACCCCATTTTTACAGAGGGCAGTCCAGTCTCTTCTTGAAAGCTTCCAGTGATGAAGCTCCCACAATTTCTGTTCCATTGATTAATTGTCCTCACTGTCAGAAAATGTCTCCTTATTTCCCTGTTGAATCTCTCCCTGTTCAGTTTCCATCCATGATTCCTTGTCTGGCCTTCGGGTGCCTTGGAAAATAGTGTGACCCCCTCCTCTCTGTGGCAGACCCTCAAATATTGGAAGACTGCTCTCATGTCTCCCCTGGTCCTTCTCTTCCCTAGAGTAGCCATGCCCAGTTCCTGCAACTGTTCATCATAGGTTTTAGCCTCCAGTCCTCTAATCCTCTTGGTTGCTCTTCTCTGCACTCTTTCTAGAGTCTCAGCATCTTTCTTTTAGTGTGGTGAACAAAACTGGATGCAGTATTCTAGGTGTGGTTACACAGGCTTTGCTTTCAGGATTTGTTTGGTTGGATTCAGACCCAAAGAGGAATGGCCCAGCTCCACAGGAAACCCAGGAAATCTCTCTTAGATAGTGTGTGGACCTCTCGGAGCTAACTAAATGATGCCTTACGCAAGGCAGCTTCCGATGGTCCTAATTTAAATTTAAACATCAAAGATCCTGCAGCTCAGAAATCCTTACCCACTAGTAAAGCTTCCCTCTCCAATCTTAAAGGGTTGCAGTGAAGTCCTTTTTCAAGCAGTCTTTTCTTCTCTGGACTCTTTGAGCAAATGCTTGACAAGTCACTGCCCTAAAAGGAATTAAGGGCACCAACAAAAGAGTTTATGTCAACAGTCAACATCCAGATAAGCAGGGATTAACACCAGACAAACCACCAAACAGAAACAGTATCCCATTGAAGGAACTACTAAGCAGAAAACCACACCCCCAGCAATACAAGCAGGGCAAGCTACTGTATATAAACAGGGAGCAAACTCCATTCTCAGTAACACTGATGATGTTGCCTAGTCGGGTAATGAAATGTCTGCAAGCAAACAATCAAGCTCAGGGAGAAACAAGGACCCCACAGAATTGAAGAGTAATCAACATATCGCCCAAGATTTGTTAAGTATATTGATATGGAAGCATAAATATCATCATGAGGCCGAGGTGGCACAGTGGTTAAATGCAGCACTGCAGGCTACTTCAGCTGACTGCAGTTCAGCAGTTCGGCTGTTCA